GTTACACTGATTTTAAAGGTTGCAATTTAGCCAACTTTTTCACCAAATGTTTTATAAAATTACAAAGAAAAATGACTAAATGTAACTAAACCAAGTCCATGGGCTCCGCCATTCCTGAAAATGTCATCAAACCCATCACAACTAAAAGCTAGTAGTTACGCCTGTTTCTGTAAAATATAGCCTACTCCTTGAAAAAAAAAAAATTATTCGTAAAGATAGGTTAGCTCATATATTTCCAGCATAGCGTTACACAACTTCACTGTGAGCGCAGGTCTAATCAGACACAGTCTCAGTGGAAACACCTGTGCTTTTCAATAGAAATATGACCCACAGCAAACATTCATCAGACCTGTCATATAGCAAGAAAAGCACAGGCGGAACTAAGAACATTAACAATGGTTCAGTTCTGTTAAATGTCCCAGTAGTCATGAAGCAGCTACCAGAGTCCTGGCTGGAGCTGCCAATCTAAATTGTATTGAGATCAGGCTTACACCTGCCCTTTTCTAACTGGGACTTCTAAAAGTTTTCTGTGAGCAAAGGTCAAAATGGTATCTTTACAACAGAAGGGAAGCTAATGTCCTGGCAATCACTTATTTTGATTATTATTAACATGCATAACTGCCATAAAGTTGCACTAACAGGATAATACCAAAATACACTAACTCCAAAGCATATAAATGAATAAAATAATTTCATCAGTCATTAATAAAACATCTCGATTGTCAGACTCAGAGAGGATGTATGTATAAAAGAAAAGAAAACTTTAAACATATAAACAAGCAGTGTCTTTCCTGGAGGTAACTTCACTGCTGTCTGCTTGGTAAGTTAATAATAATTTTGCTAACTCTAATAACCACTGCAGTTCCATTCATATTTACAGTCTATGGTTTTACGTCGCTGGTTCAAAACGTTAGCTTGTGCGAGCTTGAATATCAAAGAGTTACATCTATTTACCTGTGCTGCATGAGATAGATTTTTAATTTTGATAAGAAAGTTTTCCCTGATATATGTTATGCTTATGTACAGTTTGTATTAAGTCATTCTTGTGTTGCAAGTTGTGGCCATTACCTTAACAATTTAGTTTTTATTGGGTAATTGTTGAAATGATACTTTATCGCATGGATACGTTTTGTTGCTCCATAATGCACCAACAAAGTTTGACTTTTTAGTAGCCTTCTTGATTTAGGCAAATGTAATCATTACTGTAATGTTCAGCATGATACTAGTTGATTTAATGTAATTTCACAAACATTATGGTACATTTAAAGTGGTGGAATTAATTTAGATACTTGCTACTGCTACTTACTAAATTTCAAAGTCACTTTTTCAGCAGTATTTTTTGAAGATAATTGTCACAACAAAGTCAGTAGCCCATAAGTAGCATAAGAGTGCCTGATTGCTGTATGGGGGGATTTGCAGGCATCCGTCAGCACTAACAGGAAGTGACAGTGTGCAGAGAGGTCCTAATTACTGTCTCACTTGACTAATTGTTGTCTCTGAAGAATGTATTCCCTATGAGGGTCCCAAGGGTCTCATTGACAGCATTGCTCAAGACATACAGGCCAATGCCGATTTAGGCATGTTGCAATGTTCAAAGGCACCCCTGAAGCTAAGCCACAAGTGGGAAATATTGGGCTCAAAAACTGCCATGATTGCTGGCTCAAGTGAAGCATGCTCACTAAAATGAAAGGGTTGCAGTGTAGCTGCGAAAAACAGGTTTGCATGTTTTGGATGTGTGAGTACTGGAGGGGAAAATGTGTTTGTGTTTGTGTAGCACTCCTCTTCAACTTGCCAAAATGTTTAGACCTCCTTAGCTAAAGTCATCCTGACACAATGGGCTGATGAAGTGAGAGCATTGTTGGCTTTCCGCTTTCCAACCATGTTAAAATAAACTTGTAGCATTCAGGATAATGCTGTGGAGATGAGGGCGAGTGAAGCTGAATGAATGTTGTCTCTTTCAGGGTCTTACCATTCAAAGTGCATCAGCTTCTCGTTTCCATGGTTTCCCTCCCTGTGCCAATGCTATCTTTCCAGCATTCTGCCTGCGAGAGGGAGTGAGGGGGAGAGAAAGAGAGAAACACAGAGAGAGAGCGAGAGAACGACAGAAGGCTTTTAGCAGTGGTTATCTCTCCTTTGCATAAAGTCCCCTTTGCATTACCCAGTGCATGAATGGGCGTCTGAATAAACACACCAACCAGCTCATGTAGAAGCCTCCATGGGTTACAAGCGAGTGGGTGTGTATAAAGTAATCTAATTTGTGGTCTGCTTCAAAATGACACGGTTTGATCATGGGTGGAGAAAAAAAAGAGTCTCCCAAATGGTATTTTCGTATTAGTCACAACAAGCGGAAGGAGCAGGAGTCATTTTAACATCATAATGAGACGATTCAACATTCCCATCGTCTTGCCTTTGTAATTGGTTTACACACAAACACTTATCGTACCCTGACTTGCTTAAGGGGGAAAGTTTGTTAAAGTGTGACTTGTAATTGGCAATCAAGATAACTGCAAAACAAGTATGAACTACAGATAGTTACAGGGTTGGATAACTGATTCTTTTGTCCTATTTGTGCAGGCGCAGCCATACAATTTAGACTATTAAGATTCATGTTGGAAATCAAGTCAAGCCTTAATTCTATTCCCTAAATTAAATTGTGCACAGAGTGAAGGGGCACCTGAGGACTTTCCTAAGCGCAGTACTCTAGTACGGGGCACAGAGGGCGCTGTGACTTTAAGAGGAACCCCTACGTGCCTGTCAGTGGATGTCTTCTCCCTGAGCTCAATAAGCATTCCTTTCATGCTGTGTGTGGAGCTCTGCTGACTTATGCGAAGCCCTGAATTTCTCCATAATTATGCTAATGGTCCAGATGGTAGCATGATGAGTGCCATTCTCTTTGATATTCTCGCACTGCTGCAGAGCACTTGTGTTGCAGACCCACGCAAACTGACACACGTTCAAAGTCAGTGTTCACACCACGTAGCACTTGATCCTGTGTAATTGCTTTGTGTTTCTCTTTAGCTGACACAAGCCCCCTCTTCACTATTAAATGCATTTGCTTTTATTTTTGAAGGGGAATTTGACAGATGCATTTTTGTATAATGGAGTACTACTCCAGCCAACGAGAGGTTAGATGTTATGAACCTTTGTTTATCCACACATATAGTTAACATTCCCCTATTCTGCTGTCTATGAAAAACCTTTATTTAACCTGGTTTTTCCAATGAGATCAGATATCTTTTTTTACAAGGGGGGAAAAACAAAGTTTCCACAAGCAAATATTAAGTAGTTAAAAAAATAATAACGCATAACAGACATTGCATGCAGTAATTACACATGAAACAAAGTATATAAAACTCACCAAAAATTGCATTTCAAATACACATTAGCCATATTAAATTATTGTAGTGATGTTATTTTCCAGTAGTTTTACACCACACACACCCATACACACACACCCACACACACACACACACACACACACACAGGCCAGCCATTCACACTTGAGTCACACAATGACTGTGTTCATTCAGGCTTTTGGACTCCGGTAGCGCAGATCAAAGAGCTCCTTTCACATCCCTGTTGGGATTAAATAGCGCCTCCACCCTCCTGGGGGCGGGAGGCAGCTCCACTGTACCTGCAGCTCCAGCTGATGCACCGGCCCATGAGAGCTGCTGTTCATTGGGGGCAGACGCTGATAAGGTGCACGTAGTGTAAAATCAATAGCGTGCAGGCCCACGCAACGGCAGCAGATATCCATCTTCTCAGTTGAAATGCATCCGTACGATACTGCCTCATTTGAACCTGCTAATCAGATAGAAAGGTGATAGGCTTACATACATCCTCCAGAGATAGGATATTCACTCTCTTTTTACCGTGACATGTGGAGCTCCCTTGTGTGTGTGTGTGTGTGTGTGTGTGTGTGTGTGTGTGTGTGTGTGTGTGTGTGCCACTTACACCTTCACACTGGAGAAGGGTCTGTTGCTGGAAGGCTTTCATGTCTAAAGTGGACATATTTGCATAGGTTAAATATTAGTGCCTTTCTGAGAGCTTCGTGTCCATATCACTGGATTTGCTGTTCTGCCAATTTGAATTCTTCTTGTCCCAATCCTCCCACTTTTCTGGAATGACTGTGGAAAAAAAATGTTGGAAGGTTGTTGCTTGAAATCATGACAAAAAAAAATGTTGAGAAAGAGAAGTTGTGAATGACAAAAAAAAAAAAAAACTGAAGCTACACATCCTACTCTGAGAAAAAAAAACACAGCCATGTTATCCTGCAGGCAAGAGATGATATCAGTAGCATGCAGAGATTGGCCAGGTTTTTTTTTGTTGCCTTGCAGTGTGCACAGTTATTTCTGTATTTTGCCAAACACAAGAGGATAGTTATAGATTCCAACCAAGCCTGGATGCTGGCTCAGACATTGCTGGTTCTTTGTATTCTTAGAAAGATTACTTACCAACACATTCCCATTGCTTTGCAGGTTTGTTATATCTCTGTCCGTGGTGCTGAATTTAGATCCTGCGCTAATGAAACTAAACACATAAAAGATAGTGTTAAATAGAGATGACAGCTTTCCCTTATCACATCCCACTTCACTATAACATAACTGCATTTGAGGGATGACATGATAACTTTATTTTGATTATCACTGCTCATCCCAGTTATGAATTGGTATCTGTGCTCGAAGGGAATGCAAGTATGGCTGCAGCTTGCAGTTTCTGTTACAGATGGCATTTCTACAAACAGCTTCAAATCCATACAGGCTTCGGGGCAACTTATGGATGTAGCAAAAAAAAAAAGTACAACCCAAAAAAGGGGGTATGGAATTAAGTTCCCTCCTCTCATTATTTCTCTGTGTCTCTGTCTCTCTCCCTCTCTTTATCTCTCTCTCTCTTCCATCCATTCCTCACTCTCTCTTCTATATTCCCATCCTCCCCCCTTCATCTCTATCTGTACATTCATCTTCTTCTCTCTGTCTCTGTCTCTCTGTCTCTCTCTCTCTCTCTCACTCCCTCTCTCTCCGCTGCGCGTTCACAGCACTAACCTTGGCTCGACGTCAGAGCCTGTGCAGCAGTGCAGTATAATGGGAGCGCAAGCAACCCAGAGCGCCTCATAGGGGGCTGTATATCGCTGCTGTATCCTCTGCTTGGCGCTCTCTCGCCCCTCTCCATCCCTCTCAAGCAGCTCACCTCCAGCTCATGCTCGGGCTCCCCCCTCCTCTCTGGATCCGTACCCTTCGACATGGACGTCCCGCCGTCCCTCGACCCGGAGGATTGTTGCTTCTTGGCGCAGTGAAGGAGGAGAAGGGGAAGGAGAAGAAGGAATCATGCCGGGACTGCTAATGGATTTTGGGAAAGCGCAAGTGACCATGCCGTGATCTTGCGCATCCAGGGCCGCCGTCACCCTGCCTTGCCCAACGTCCGTAGAAGAATCACGGGGGAATCGAACCCGCGCACCGGGTGGATTAAAACCACTGTGCATTTTTTTAAAAACAACATGAAGATTACCTCCCATCATCTGATGATAACCAGTCTCGTTTTCAGGTCCAACCTCAGGCTGATCCCGCTTCTGCTGCTGTTTCTTGGTTACTCTCGCGGGATGCCGCACGTTTTAAGATTTGGTAAGAACCTGTTTGTTTATGGAGCGATTACATCTGTGCCGATGTCTCATAACGCGAGCTGACTGGTTGATATTTCACTGGTAAAAGGGGCTTTTACGTGATGCAAAAAGCAAAGGCATCGGCTTATTTTTGGTCCCACTCTTGCACTTGTTTTGTTTAGTCTCCCAAAAAAAAAAAAGAATCGCATTTGTTGATGAATAGTACGGTTATGCTCCCGTAATATACCATGGCATTTTAATGACACTTTCTTCACGATTGCCTGACACCATCGGGGGTGAACGGTGTTTTTCTTGAAACACTGAAACCGAGAACTTTGAGAGAAAACCCAAGCGTGGCTAACCCGTAAAAAGCAAAAACTCCGGTGCAACAGTTCACGCTTATGAGCAGCTGAAAGAAACTCTCTCTCTCTCTCTCTCTCTCTCTCTCTCTCTCTTTTGTATCTCCTTCGCCTTTTAAACTGCTGACACCCTAGCAAATCCTCCGCAGTAAATGTTTACATGTAAACATTACCCCCGGAGTGCGGATCAATCACTCCGATCTGTAACTGTGGCCTAATCAATACGCCGGGCACTACTTTTTCATCACTAATCCCTCTGAACTGATATCCAGCCGGAATTCCCGCGTGCATATTTCTGCTTATTTACAACGTTATGTAGCCTACGTAGATAAACGATTACATCCGGTTTGCCTGGCGGAGTCAGAGCTTAAACAAATGCAATTGAATAGCATCTCTCACACTGGCAGTACTTAAGTGTAGCTCATTAGCCTAAAAATTGATTGGCCACTTCTCTTCAAGAACTGTTGCTTTCGTCTGACAGAGGAATTATATAATTAAAGTTGGGTTTTTTAAAGTACTTCCTCAACACTTGCCACTACAGTGCATTGCTGCTGATTCTTAACTTGAACATTGGGCCATTACTGCCTGTGTTTCTGCTCTAAAATCACTAAATCACAGCCTCTTGTGGTTTCGTCTGCTGCTTAATTAGATCCGTCTCAGGAGGATGGTGGTGTTTTGCCTCTCTCTGCTAACATACAGAGAACATCTTGGAGTGACAGGGGTGCCCCCCCACCCTCCCATCCCAGCTCCCCCCCCCCCCCTCCCATCCCAACAGCGGATGTCATCAAGTGTTGACAACACATCCTTACAATCTCCCAATCCCCCCGAGGGTCCTGCTTAAGAGTCAGGCTGCATCCGCAGGAGCCGCCGCTATGGCAACGGGATGTGCTTGTCTTCCTGCTGCATCTTCAGCCTCCGATGTGCGATTTCGCGTCTCACACGTTGTCTGACAGACCCCGAGCATCTATTCACTAATCTGCTGGGGATAGAAAAGTCCCAGTGTGATACTATTTGACACCAAAGTTTACCGGCTGGTAGATGATGAGTAAAAGCTGCCGGGGAAACAGTTGGGGTATAGCTGATAAAATATCTGCAAGATTGGGCACACTTTGGAGGGATTTCTGGGCAACTGATAATTGTAATGTGCACTTATTTGTGTATGTGTTTGAAAATGTCAAACATATTATTTCAGAGGTACTAGTTGTCTGCGATGCCAAATCCGAAATTCTGCCCTATCTGACCGGCTAGATATGTAAGGCATCAGATATCAGAAGCATGATAGGGATAAACCACGATAACGTTTGATTCATAGCACTGTGATCTTTTGAATTTCGGTTAAGCTCATGCTTGCTTTTGCCTGTGTTTTGGTGGAGTTTAAAAAGCTGGGCTCTCTATCTCTAGCCTCTATCTTCAGGACCATGGACAGCATCCTGGCTTCCTTGCAGCTTGGCCTGTGCCTGTTGCTGAACAAAAAAAACATTGCTTCTAGTTTTTATGGAAGAGCATACATTTTTAACTAGCTTTAGCCGCCTGGTTTTTGTACAATATCATCTCTGTCACTACAGTCGAATCTACTTTCCATCTCTTTATCTGTCAGATGGCTTCATTTCGTGTATTGTTATTCATTCTCTTTATAAAACATGATACACTTGTCTGTCTTTTTGCTTGTAAAGGGACGGAGCTACCAAAGAGAGAGAGAGATACATGCCGATAGGGATGTGTGTGGGTGATTTTATCAACACAAGAAAATGTATGTCAGTGTGTGTAAGCGCTTGTGCTGTGAGAAAGAAGAGAGTTAGAAGAAGAAATGCCTTGAGAGACAATGGAGTCCTTTTTTCCCAGTGCGTTTCCTGTCCTACAGGATGTGCTTGCTCAGCAGATAATCCCCAGCTGCTCCTGCAGGAGGCTGGCTAAATGTGGAGGTCGTCTCCCCTGGGTCCGTCTGTTCCCTTTTTCCCGCCCCAAGTTCCCCGTCCTGTCCAGACAAGCGGCTCACATTGTACAACCACAGTTCCCCTGTCAACCTGAGACCTTTACACTCATACACACTGTAACACTAAAGCATAGTCAGCCATTTGTGTTCGCTATCGGCCTCAACATGTAGAGCGACAAGTGTCGCAGAATAAAAAAAACGAGAGCAAGAGGCGTGCTGGCTACCAGCTGCAAGCAAATATGCTGAGCTGATTTCCACACAGAGTTGAATTATTGTGTTCAGCATTCCTCAATTTATAAATCTTAGAGGTAATTCATTTAGTTTCTTACTGAAGTGGACCCAGTGCGGTACTTATCAGCTGAGATGAAACACACCAAAAGGAAGATTTTTCTAACTAGTTCACACTCGCCTGTTGGGAGAACTGAATGACATTGTGCTGCCAAAGTGAAACGGCAAAGTGCCTCATAAACCAAGCATGATTTTCTTTAAATTGCCCCTTCGGTTTTCACTCTATTTCCAATTGTACAATTTGGGCTGAAAAATAACTAACTTAAAAGATGAAAAGAAATCAAATGCATTTATCCAGAAAACTGAACTTGATGTTTAATTTGAAGCTGATTTAAGATGGCTAACTTATTCTCTTCCCTTTAAATTTTGAATATAATCATATTCTGAAAAGGCTGTCAGGGGAGATTGCACAACATCTGATCTCCCTCTTTTTCTGAAATAATCTACAAGAAGTGGTATTTTCAAATACGACTTTAGTCAGAGTTCTTCAGACTTCTTTAGTCGTCATGGTGGAGATGTTAGAATCCAGGGTTTCATTCAAGTTAAAACTTTGTTTGTTTGCTAGCGGCTAAAATTAAGGGTGTTTCTAACGATCCTTCAAGATAAAGCATCGATATTCATATGCTCTTATTTGGCTTTACCCATAAGAAATGCTCATTCACATACGCCATTAGTCATCACAGCAGCCTTTCCATCAAAGCTGATCAAGTTTAGCTCAAGGACATGTTGAATTTAGAGAAAAAAAAGTCAAACAGAAGAAAGAATCAACAATGATTATGAGGCAGTGTTTGAATCCTGATGACCATTGTTGGTCTGCGGCTGTGAGGTTGAGTGATAACATTATCACCGCCATCTTCACTGGCAGGCGCTGTATGTCCCTGGGCTGTCAACTGCTGCTGAACGCATTGTTGACTCAGAGAAGCTCATTTCTGCTTGTTTATTTCCTGCTTATGTTTAGATTTTTTTTCCCCAGCACAGACATGTCTGGGAATATTTATGACTAAAACACAGCATTGTATTTCATTTTGGAAAGGAAAGTCTTTTTTGATTTTGTTTAGTCCTCTGGCAAAAAAAAACCCCACAATCCCCTCTGGTAGAAGCTATGTTTATCTAACTGCTTCCACAATGCAGTACTAGGATAAAGGTCTTTATTGCATTTCTAATATTTAACGCTCTTTTCATCCCCTCAGCTTGTTTTTGCTGGCGAAATTACAAGGTTGTCGAGAAGGGTAATTTCAAGGGAAGTTTGTAGTTAATTGACTTTATTTCCTTTTTGCATACCGCCAGCCTGAATTATCAGCATGCTGGAGTTAAGTTTGGGATTGCAGGAATTACGGATAACACCCTGTGCCCTGGCTCACTGCCAGCACTTTCACAGCAAACATTTAAATAGTCACAAAGCTGCTTAAAATATTCATGTGTCACTTGGCCCCGCTTTAGCTTATAGAAATATGAAACTATCTCCTCTCTGCTGGCAAATGATTTCCATGGTTTAAAAATACCCACCGTGGGTTTCAAGAACAAAAAGGAGATCTGTCTTACATTAGCATGCGGCACCACACACGGGCTCCAAGCAGGGAACTATCCGGATGAATTTCTTTAAACATGTTTACAGTCCTGAGTCTTTGAAGGTCTCGCTGTCATGCCTCGGTTACAAAAGGCTCAATGGTGATTAATTCAGGGAACAGATTTCTTGCCATGGGAAATATCTGTGAGGTATGAAATTAGTTTTCTTGTGCTTAGCATTTAGTCAATTTTAGATTTTCCAGCTACATCTGAAGAGATTATTTACAGGCAGGGGGCTGTAGATGTTTGACCTTATTTTCAGGGTAACCATTTCTATTATAACTGCCTCATCTGACATTTTTCTATTATTGTATTAAGTATATCCAGGTCCTACATTCTTCCGCTGCCTTTTTGATGGCTGAACTCCTATAGTACATCGGCTTTCATTATTCACAGCCTATCATTCTCTGTCATTGTCACTCAAGGTTTTCCCTGTGTAACAGAGGGGGGTTGGAGGGTCACATATGCAATTGTTCTGTGAAACTGTCCCTTGAGAAGAGCTCTACAGCTTGTCTTACTGCCTCCTTGTCTGGCTCTGTGTTAACTGAAGGTCATAGCTGAAAACACTCACAAGAAATCTTTTATTTTTATGCTTCTTTTATCACATGTGGAGCTGTCCCTCTCACAATCCCACCCAGGGAGATAGAAGACAATTTGAAGTAACTGAGAGGTGTAAGAAAAGCAAAAAAGTGTTTGTTTGAGGGAGGGAAAGAAAAAGAGAAAAAGCGAGACGTGTGAGCAAGAAGAAAAACAGTGAGTGTTGAGGCCAGCAGATAGAGAGTAAAGATAGATTAGTTTGCCTGTAAGCAGTCCACTCTCAGCCCACTCTCACTTGTGGACTTTTATTGCTCTTTTCTGATGGCTTCAGACAGAAAA